GGTTTAGGGTTTAGGGATCAGGGCTCTGAGTCGGTCTAGTTATCATAAGTACCTAAGCACTGGAATGATGGTTACAACGCAGTATATGTGTAATGGAGGGGCCTTGTTAACTAGAATAGGGTTTCAGGGGGTTCCTTATTATAATTATGGTATATTATACCCCCAAACCCTATTCTAATCGTTAACGCCCCTATTTTAGTTGGCCTAAATAGAACCCTACTTGTTTCGTTCTCTGGTCCTGCCCCCCCTCTTGAAACAAACCCTAAACCTGCAGTAACCCTTAGCGGAATCCGCAAAGGAACCCGTAAAACCGCCCTCACTAAGTGTGTAAATAAGCCCTAAACCCTAAACCCTCAGTCCCAAGAAATCCTCAAAGTGCCTGTAAGACCCCACTTCCCTAGTCCCAAGTCCTACGCCCCTGATCCTTTCACGATCCTGCAAGGGATCCACCCGGAAAACTGAAAACCCCACGGCCCTTGAATCCATAAACTACCGATGCGACCCTTCAAACGTACCTATAAGATCCTTAAGCATACCTATAAAACATCCGTGAAGATTCTTTAAAATCCGTTTAAAGATCCCCTCAGATCCTTTAACATCCTATAAGATCCTTCAAGACCCCCTTTACCCAGATCCCTGGGAGGATCCAAAAAGTAGATCCCTTAAGGGAGTTCCTATGAAGTACCCTTTAGTAGTTAGGGTCCCAAATTAGGGGTTCTCCTTTCTAAATACTCCCGGTTTGGGTAAGGTTCCTCTGAGGCCCCTTTCAAGATCCTATGAGGTCCTTCACGACCCCCTTTAAGGATCCTTCAAGACCCCGTTTAGGCCTAAACCCTAAACCCTAAACCCTAAACCCTAAACCCTAAACTGTGGCTCTTTAGGCCCGCGCCGAAGCTTGGGGCCTCAATGCCAATGCCGCAGGGACCCGGAACGGCTGGGGCCTCGGATGTTTGTGACGCGGGACTGTCTGGTGCTTAGTAGGGAATGGGGGAATGGATCCCTATGATGGTCCCTTTAAGGTCCCGTATACTAGTCCCTATAACCCATTCCCCCATTCCCTACTAAGCACCAGACAGGGGAGAAAAAACCCCAAAGACCCCCAACCCTTTAGGGTTTAGGGTTCAGGGTTTAGGGTTCAGGGTTTAGGGTTCAGGGTTTAAACTTCAGGGTTTAGGGTTTAGGGTTTAGAATCTTGGGTTAGGGCCAAGACACCCCAAACTGCAAATCCCAAGTCCCAAGAATCCCAACTCCCAGTTCCCAACCCCCCAAGCCCATCCAAGCCCAAAATGCCATACCTCAAACCCCAAACTCGCTGAAGACCCCTGCTGAACCCCTGAACTATGAAGCTTTTGCTACTGGACCTTCTAAGCCTCAATACTCTGAGGCAATACACCGGGTTTATGGGATAATCTGGGGGCCTTGACAATTAGAATACGGTTTGGGTATATATATTATACTATAAAAAAATCAGGAACCCACGAACTAGTATTAGTTTAGGTAACTAAGGGTCCCTCCCTATATTACTACCCTAAACCCTAAACCTTAAACCTTAAACCCTAAACCCTAAACCCTAAACCCTATACCCTAAACCCTAAACCCTAAACCCTATATTACTGGTTTTGGGGTTAGGGTCCGTGGCAGGCGTCTCTGGCGGAGCGGCCGGGGGAGGTGGGAGCTCTTCAGGCCTCCGACGCCGAAATAAGAAGACCCTAATCCCTAAACTCTAAACCCTAAACCCTAAACCCTAAACCCTAAACCCTAAACACGAAACCCTAAACCGTCCGAAATAAGAAGCAGGATTTGGGCAGGAATTTTTTCGCGGAGGAGAGGCAGAGTTTAGTAGGGGGCTTTGAGGTTTTCAGGGCGTTGTGGGGCTTCGAGTTGGGGGGAGTTCGGGTGTTTTGGGGTGTGGATTTTTTGGGGTTGGGGTTTGAGGGTTTACCCTGCACGCACATCGCCCTGACCTTCCTATATGATTATATTGTATCTAGAGATCAAGGATTTTGCTGGTTCTACTTGCCAGCCTCTAGAATACAGAAATGTCGGGGCAGCTGTTGCTGGGAGATTCAAAGAGCCTGACGGGACA